AACGGGTTTGTAAACAAGCTCCACAATAAGGACATTCACTTTTGTTCTGGTGTTTCCATTCGAAGCTCCCAAATATTTCATGTGTTTTTCAGTGAAATTTTCCCACCATAGAATTTACCGGTACAAATGGAAGTTACCAACGCCTAATCACTTCAATTACTAATGGAATTCAATTGAACCAGTNGACTGTTGGGCAATTTCTACAGAATGGTTGATGCTCTACCCTGTGATTTTATTTGTACATCGAATTGGTTCAACTTTTCCAAGGTTTATCGCACATTTTTTATGAAAATGATAATTAAGTCTCACTAAACGCACCCACAAATCACTTTCGATTGTTGTTTAAAAACAAAGACTGTAAAGTTTGCAAACGCTACGAAAGTCACGGCACATTCAGCTGGATGTAGCTTCAAACTAAAGAATGTCCAATTGTTCACTGAAAGGAATCGGTATGTACACTGAGATGCAGGTAGTGCTGGTGAAAACGTCACCGACAACGCGATTCCGAAATCTATCTACCATGACACACTGTAACTGATGTTCCTTTGGAAGAAGCCCACTACCCTAGTCAAGTTCAACTTTATGAACACAATTTGGTGAATTTTCTGCACATTTGACAATATACCTCAAATAAAATGATAAATATTGGAAAAACCCTTAAGCGGTGGTGGCCCGGAGGTAACGTCACCAAATTATCACCTCAGGGATGTGTTCGAACCTCACCACCACCGCCTGACTTCCCCCATTGTGTGTTGTATGGCAGCCCTTTGATTGGCCGCTTCCCCCTTCCTGAAAAATTGTTGTTTCTTTGTATATTCAATAAAAGGAAGTAAAAATGAAACAGAAAAAGGAAAAAAAGAAACGTTCACTAATTCAAAAACAAATCGATGTGATATAACACTAATATGATATTTGATTTTCTAGGTTAATAATGGTAGTTCAAGAGATCTGGAAACGAGAATAAAGTCTTTCTCCTTTAGACCGGGAAAAATACTAGGGAACAGGATAACCACTGTGAAAGAATGCGGGCCGCTATAAATTTAAGAATTACATTCAGGGGAACGACAAACGTTTTAATCCTGGAAGCGAACAAGAATAATTTACAAACCTTAATGGAAACGTTTTCTACATGCTTGGACCAAGAAACTTTATGTTACTAAGTAGCTCCAAGACATTTGGGAGGGTGTCAGCTTTGAGGTTGATATAACCGTAAACATTTAACTCACCTTTGTATGCAGTATGTGCTAACTAAACTTAACTGAACAAAGTGTCTGTTTGGAAGTGGAAATAAGCGAAACGAATAAGCGATTTCGTACGAAACGAAGAAAATATTTACTGTTTTGCTCGAACCAGTTAGGCCAATCGGAGGTGCATTCACATTTGCGTTGAATTTTGCGGGTTTGCGAGGTTACATCGTAGTCTCTCGTGTAAAGGAATGTGCAGTAAATTTTGATCGAGGGTTGTGAGCTTCTTGACGGAAAATCCAGCGAGCTTAACTGCTTGGAAGAGGATTGAATCCGCGGATCGCATAAACAGACCGGACACTTTTCGGGCCAACACATGATTCTTTGATCGATGGATGTTAGGTATCATTGATGATAATGCACAGAATAAAATCACAACTGTGCATTTTAAAGTCGTTTGCGGTGCCATTAATCTTACCCGATAAGCGTGGAGATTAAATAGTTACACTCAATCTCCTGCTAAGTCGTACCCCTGAGAAGTCGTATTTTCCAATATCTTCCCACGTTTGCGAAAACCCAAAACAACCGTATGCCTAATAACGTAGTTTCTGATCATGCAATGTTGCACCCCTCAATATGTCGCAGTCCCTGATATGTACTCACCTGGTCGTTCACCGATGTTCGGGACGACCACTGACCATGCACCCTGAAATTTCGCACTCAACCAGTGGCGTTTCACCAACTGTGACACTTTCACGGCACTGTTGACTGATTGGATAATCCTTTCGAGGAAGCCACACCGGTGGAAGCGATCGGAGACAGTGTTATTTGACGTCAAAGTATGCAAGCGCCTATCGATCAGAGAGAGGCAGTCTGCTTGCGTTCTGCCTTTAATGTCCCGGGTTCGATACCCAGTTAGGTCGGTGAGTCTGCACTGATGATGAGACCGAAGCAGGTTATAAAAGCTGTCCAGAGCTTCCTAGCTTTTCAGTTCACTCTTAATTTGCTATATAAACGACTAATTCATCTTTGCAAAATAGAGTCATCTGCGCACTTTACCAGAGGGTCAATTTCGCGCTTTTCACTCTCCTAATGAAGAAAGGTAAAATATGGCTCATGACTTACCATATATAAAAGCTAGTGCTTTACTAATCAAATTTGATCTTTTCCCAAAGCCAGTTATCAATTTACCTCTGGTTTCCGCCAGTTCTTACTGCCGTTAGGAAAGCACAAACACGATAAGTTAATTTCAATTCAATCAACCTAGGCTAAAACTTTGAGATTGTGTTGCTTCGTCGTCATTCATCAAGTTCTTTTGCGAACTAAGTATGAATAGGCGTAAACCTTTCAAGGAATTTTATAAACGAAATCGCGCTCTAGTCAGTTACATTCGAAGGAATCCTCGATTATGACGAACGGAGAGGAATGTCTGCACTGCTGGACACTATCACGACACGGTTTTCATAACAAGGCATATTCAGTGCTTTCTATATGGAAATAAAATCCTGAGGGTACCAATAAATACGTCTATTTGTTTTTAAAGGCAACAAGATTTCAAGGTACATCGGTCGCGAGCCAACTCAAACGAGCAATAATAAAGCAGCATACGGCATAAATAGTTTGTTTATTGTACTCACTAGGACAGCTTTCTCATCCCCAACAACTGCAAGGATATTGATTTGAGCATGAAATAAGCCTACTCTGAACGAGAACGAGTTTAGTGCATCGGTTCACTGAACGGAAACCTTTGGGAAGTTTGAACTAACATTATGACTTTCATAAATTGATTTTGTAACTTCAGCAGAAGTAAGCTTTGGATTACAATTCGAATTCATGTTTAATGCAGTCTATTCAACACAGCTAGCCCGGTGTTATTGCCTGTCAATTGAAGATACGGTGTTGGACGGAATTCGAATGAGCACACTGAATCAACAAAGAAACGGATTACTTGGCACCTAAATAAATGTCGATCCATGAAAAAGATTAATTATTTGACTGATCAACCCATAGATTTTGTCTTTGCACAGTCCACCATCCGCAAAAGTTGCATATATCTGCCGTCACATCCGGGATTTATTATCTGAATGTCTCACGTGATCAGTGTCCGTTCGAATAATATTACTGACGGATTGAAGCCGACACGGAATTCGAATTGGTGATTCCGGTCTGCCCACTTGAGATTGTTCGCAAAACGTTATTCACACATGTTTTCTATTTGAGGTATCCGGAGTTAAAAACATTGCCGTCTGACACGATAATTCAAAACGGGATTATTTAGGTGTCATGTGGATTCGGTAACATATGGCCGTCAATATAAAATACAAAAAGGCAAACATAGATTAATAAACGTACA